CAAGGCTGGGGACAACCGGGACCACAGCACGGCTGCCGAAGTGTTGAAGGATTTGGCCAAGCTTGGTGATCGCCTCAAAGAGCACATTTTCACTTCTGTCAAGGTGAAGAAGGTCCTGGGTGAAGGAGGCAACTACACTGTACTTTTCGATGATGATGCTTGTCTTGACCTTTTAATCCCTTTTGATCCTTTTTGAACTTTCAACTTCGCAGGTTTTTGAAATAGCCAGCCTTAGACCATGGGCTCTTTTGTAGGGATGCTGGCCACAATTCCTGCTTCTCTGCTGAGGAGTTGGTGCGAAGTGCCGGGATCGTGCAGTGCCGGGGCGTGGTGCTGTGCATCAACGATCGCGTTGGGCTGCCCCGACCTTTGTGCGTTCCCGGGCAAGAAAGCTTCATGGGAGTAGTGGCTGATGGCACCTCCGATTCCTTGGCAGGTGGGGCTAAGCAAAATGATTTGGAGAGCTTATGGTTTTTTGGGGGTCTGGGAGCGACATGCAGAGACCCAAACACCGTAACAACCGTAACAACTCATTGTCCAAAGCGTTGTGCTACAAAAATTCGGGGTCACGTTGGTGCCGCAGGCATCAACTGGCGTGGCAAGCGAGTGGTGATCGCTGGCATGGGCGCCTTTGCGGTCGAGAATGTGCAGCTCAGAAAAATGACGAGTTGTCAGAAATTCCAGACAGCTTTGATGCATTGAATTATAGAAGTTGGCTTCTCAACTCCGGTTGCTGGCCATTTTTGCTTTAGCTGAGTGCTCCTTTTTCCTGTGAATGCGAGTCCCACTGCCCTCCCATGCCCTTGCTCGAAGATCTGTAAGAGATCACAAAACTCAGATAAGGTCGGCAGCTGCCTCTTCTTGACGTATATACAATAGATTTATCGAAGGAATTTTAGAAGTCAAACTTCCGACAATATGGACAGATGAAAAGCAGAGATGGGAAGAGTCAGAGAGAAGAGAAGAGTAGAAGAGAGAAGAGCAGAAGAGAGAAGATGCAGGTGCGCGAAAAGGTAGGAAAGTCGCGAAACACTGTTTTTCCAATGATTTGTCGCTCCGGAGGGTCGAAAAGTAGGTTCGCTAAAGCGGCGGGTGCGGAGCCATCTAGCCAGATGAGAGATGAAAAAGTGCACGCCGTTGTGGCGCGAAGCACCTTTCCAAGTCAAAATATACAAAACACCTCAGCTCCGGAGCACTTTTAGAAGTTGCGCTGTCGAAAAAGTGCACGCTGTTGGGGCGCGAAGCACATTTCGAAGTCAAAATGTACAAAACACACCAGGTTCGGACCATTTTTGGAAGTTGCGCTGTCGAAAAAGCGCACGCCGTTGTGGCGCGAAGCACATTTCGAAGTCAAAATGTACAAAACACTACATGCTTGGACCACTTTTGCACGTTCAGATGTCGTTTCGCGTGGCAGGCGCAAGGGATTGTGCCCCGTGTCAAAAGTCAGCAAAACGTGAGGGTGTTGTGGCATGTCCAAAAACAATGGCAGTTGTGGGACATTTGAAGAGGATCTGCAAAGATGCATTTCCGTGGCAGGCGCAGTACAAGAGACATGTTCATCAGAGCTGTTAGGAGGTCCGGGCCCTGATTTCCTGAGAGGGGTTGCATTTTGGAGCACCAGATCTTCAGGTTTGCTGAGATGATTTTGCGGGACAGGTGCAGCACTTCGTGTGACCTGGCATCACTTCTTCGTGGCAGGCGCGGTACTTTAGACAGGTGGAGTGGAAAAATCACAAAACGCATTGGTACGAGGCCGTCAGCTCTGCACTCAACTTTCCATTTTTGAAGGATGTCTCGCAGAACTGTTTCGTTTTTGAGGTTGTCAACTTCGAAAATTGAGGAAGTCTCGCAGAATTGTTTCGTTTTTGATGTTGTCAAGTTCAAAAATTGAGGAAGTCTCGCAGAGTTGTTTCGTTTTTGACGTTGTAGTTCAAAAATTGAGGACGTCCCGCAGAATAGCTTCGGCTTCAAGCTTGCAGGTAGACAGGCAGACAGACAGGCAGACAAACAGATAGATAGATGGATGGATGGATGGATAGATAGATAGATAGACAGTTGCAACTACAACTACCACTACACTACACTACTACTACAACTACAAATATACTACGCTACATTACACTGCACTAATTACACCACACTACACTAACTACATCTAATTACACTACACTACACCAATTACACTAACAACTACAACTACAACAACTACGACTACCACAACTACGACTACCACAACTACGATTCCAACTACACTACGCTACACTAATTACACTGCAGCACACTTCAACTACAAATACAACTACCACTACAACCACACTACATTACACAACACTACACTACACAACACTACACTACACTACACTGATTACATTGCATTACACTACAACTACAGCTGCAGCTGCAACTGCACCTACAGGTACAACTACCACTACATTACACTACACTACGCTACACCTACACTACCTTACACTAGACTACACTACACTATACCACACTACACTACACTACACTACACCACACGACATTACACTGCACTACACACTACAGTAATTACACCACACCACGACTACAACTGCAACTGCACTTGCAAATACACTAATTACACTACATTACAGCTACAGCTCCACTACACTACACTACAACTACAGCTACAACTGCAACTACAACTACAACTGCACTACACCACACTACATCCAGCAGTTGTGGTAAGGTGACCACTGCAACCATTGCAACCACTCCAAAAACACAACTCCAACCACCTGTCGGTCCATCAGTGGATTCGCCCTGCCATCCGTGATTCACAACAACCAGCCTCTCCTATAGGTTTCCTATTTGTGAAACTTCCGCCGCCGTCTTGTGCGGCATTACTGGTATAGATTTGATAGCCCCTCCCGATTTGCGATTCATTGCTGGGAACTTTATTTCCCACCATGGCAGCTGAGCATCTACTGAGGCGAACCGCCTTGGAGCACGGTGCGGCACAGGTCATTGTGGTTGCTCGCCGCCATGGCACCATTTGCCCCAAGGCAGGGAGGATTGGCTGCCTGGAAAGAACACTTCACCGGTGTGTTGCTCCCTCTTCTTGTGAATGTCTTGTTTTACTACCCGCTTCCCGCGGCACACTGGTGCTGGCTAGGCAATTGACTACCTGAACTTCGTCAAGCCGTGGGATGAGAAATACAAGCACGACACCCAGACCAACGTCAAGCAGTTCTTGCGATGGAAGCAGCTCTACGAAGCATCTGGCTGCCGGTTGCCGGAATGCTGGCCGAAACAGGTGAAGCATGACGGCCACACCATCTCTGTGAGCGATATTTGGTTCGTGGCCCACCACATGAAGAAGTTTTCTACGATGACAGGCACACCGGGAAGATAGGGAAGGGGTGCAGGGCGTTTTCATGCAGTGGTTTGAGTTGGGAAAACCATTCTCGCACTCTTGCATACCTGTGCTGCGACCAGGGAAATACTTGGAAATCGCATGTTTCAATGTGTGAAATGCCGTGCGAATTGCACAGTGTCCAACAAAGGCTTGATCCAGCACATCGAGAAGGAGGGCGTGATGCTGTGCAGCGGAGACTTTGTCCCCTGTGATGTGGTGGTGGGCTGCATAGGCTTTGAGCGATCCAACTTTCTCTGCGAGTCCCTCACAGGTCGCTGCGAAGTGAAGACCACCAACTACTTGGACCAGCACATGATGTACCTGGCGGATGCAGAGATTGACGAAGGTGAAAGTGATGAAATGCGACAACGCGCACAGATTGAAACAGGGATGAAATTCCTCAGAAGCCTAGTGTCCCCATGTTTCAACTATTGTAATGGCACGACATTCTTGTTGGTGTGGAGGGGCCTTTCTTCTCTTTTTTATTTTTTTCTCTCTCTCTCTCTCTCTCTCTCTCCCTCCCTCCCTCTCTCTTTCTCTCTCTCTCTCCCTCCCTCCCTCTCTCTTTCTCTCTCTCCCTCCCTCCCTCCCTCTCGCTCTGGTGATGCAGGTGCCTTCAACTCATTTTTTGGCTCCTCCGTTTTGGAATATGGGAAATTCTTCACCAACGTCTTCGTTGAGGGCCTGCTGCGGCCTGACATCTTGGGTGAGCGACTCTGGGGTTGCGACACTGTGGCGGTGCCAATTTCCCAAAGGCCTGGTTCTCTGCTTCCCTTGAGATATGGCAGGAATTTGCACAGCAATCTCAAGTTTTGGATGGCCGTTGGATGCCACTGGTTGTCATTAGTTTCATACTGTTCTTGGGTTCCCACTTTTCACAACGCATGCAAGTGGCAACACATTGTGAAACTGGTGGAGCTAAGAGCACTTGAGACTGGGGACAGAGGGTCCCTGACGCCAGGAAGTGGAATCAGTACATTGCTTCCGCCATGAAGCTCATTGAGACGGATGATCGGATTGCGCTGCATGCACAGCAGCAGGTGCCTTTGGTGGCAGTCCATCCCTTTTGCACCGGTGTCATCCAGAGCTTTGCAAGAGTTTTTTCATGCTTTTTCTATCACAGTTTCAACTGATATTTCAACTTATCGCCACAGTTAGCCCCTCCTGCCTTGGAGCCTCGTCAGGACGCATTTCATTGGAACTGCATAATATGCGCTCCCGGAATATGACATGTTTTCTCACAAGGATTTGATTAAGACTGACTGACCATCGGATACCGACATAAACATTCCACGACATTGGAAAACTATGGACAAAGAGGGCCCTGTTGGTCTTGATATGTCTTGAGAGCACCTGATAGCATTGATGAATACGGATGAACCGGATGAGTACCATTGATTACCTAGAAATTCAGGACAGCAGAGAGAAGCAGAGAGATCCTTGCGGCAGTGATCCAAGGTGGATGCCCGCACCAAGCACTTCTGGCGCACGCTGCCTCCAACGAGTTTCCTTTCGGTGAATCGCAAGGAGTGGGAAGAGCTGCACCAACGCCTCAATGGAGGAGTTCCAGTGCCCCAGGAGCGTCAGCTGAGTTATTGTGTGTTAGTATTCCATTGTGCCATTGTGCCTCGTAGTTTTTTTTTGGTGGGTATTAAGGCGGAAATTCTTCACTTGGGGGGGAGCCCCGCATGCAGAGAGTGCCGGGAGTGCCCCAAGGCATCCCAAGGTCCCATTGGTCACCCATCAGCGGCTGAGCACCGCCTCCGAGGAGCAGCAACTGCCGTACTTCTTCGAAGAGATCCCTGCATGGTGTTGATTGCATAGACGTGGTATAGACCTAGCAGGCACCAATCCCACCCCATGGGAAATACCAGTTGCCGGATACAAATCCTTGCGGCCTTGCGGCCTTCAAGTCGACTGCGGCTTTCCATGGAGTATGTGAATCGCCTGCCCTTATCAATGTGCCCTAGCACATCAATGCTTGCATGACCGTGTTGCAATCTAGACCACTATATAGCTGTCCTTATCACTGTGCACAGTGTTGCCTGGTGATAAGGGTTAAAGCTGCACAGTGAATTCGGCACATGGCAATTTTGGTGACTAGCGGAAGCACAGTGGCAGAAGGATGAGTCTAGATGACAGATACACACAGATATATTGAAGATTATTGAAGAATATTGATGATCTGTCGTGAGCGTCGTTCCGCCCAGCAGTGGACCGGGGCTATTCTGCCACTGAGCGTCTGAAGAAAAACTCCCTCGGACCGTCGTTCGAGATTCACTCCCTATAGATTAGACTCAGTCCTGTACAGATGTGCGGCAAAGCACTTGTGAGGCGAGAGAACATATCTATGCGAAACATGAAGCAGCAGAACAAAGCCGAAGTTGAATTATTTCGAACTAGAAGCTTCCGAAACGCCCTTGCACAAAATTGGAACAGATGTTATAGGACGTTGTTGGATTTGGATTTGGACTTGGATGGCCTTGTGGAATAGCATTTGCACTTTCATCTTGGGAAGGGGGCGACATTCGTGCACAACGGGCTGCTCACACATATTCATCCTTAATTCATGCAGTTCCTGTGCGGCATGCTATAGCTTGGCTTCCAAGTTGTTTTGTGCCCTTGCTCTCCAAAAGCATACAGCAGACACTTGGCAGGTACATCTAGGTTGGGGTCACATATTTATTCAAACTTTGGGCAAACGTAGGGGTTGCAGCGAAGATTAGCAGAGATGTTTTTCGAACGCCGGATTCGCGGCAGGTGCGGTACCCCGACTCACCGGAAGCCCTGGCCGAAAGGTTGTACAAGGACTGGCATTGCGCGGGCCCAAAAATCATAAGGAACCTGCAGGACTTGGGTCCCATTGTTTCAAGAACCTGAAGGAAATGGGCCACATTTTTTCTGTTGTCAGGGGTTCCTAAAATGCAATAGACACAAAACAGGAGCTGGAGTCGGAGCTGCCGAAGTTCCAGAAGGGAGAAAGCCACCGATTATGAAATTATTATTGATACTGTTCTGCGTGTTTCTTTTTCTTATCTTATCACAATAAGATAGCACTAGATATTCCTACTTATCACATTGAGATATACTAAGGATACTAATTTGTTTATATAGGACCTATAGGATCTCCAGATTCAAATCCAACATGCTCAGCGCTGTCGCACATCATCGCTGAGGCGGGTAGCATTGCTTTATCTCCAACCTGCACAGCTGGACTGCAGGTGCATCCCACCACAGCTGCGTTGGCCCTGTTGCAATTGGGATTCGTTGGGTTGGAAGTTCGTGGGCTATGTCTTGTCAAGTCTTGTGCTTGGATAAGAAGATAAGCATGTCTCTCCATAAAATCCGCCGGCAGCCATTTTTTCGTTTGCGATCAACAAACTGCCCAGAAAGTGCTTTGAGATGTTGCCTTCAGAGACTCCTCGTGTGTTCCTGTTTTGCGGAGAAGGGGCCCACAGCGAAGAGACAGACATCGCTGCTTAGCAACAACAAACGAAGTTAGTTCTTGCTAGTTTTTTCTGATTCTATAACCCGTAAAATGAAATAAAGTTTCAAGTGTGGAACATGTTAGCGGATTTCCATGTCCTTTTTCATCCGAATTACTTTTTATTTCTTCCCGAGAGCGTCTGAGCGAAGGGTTCTTCTAATAGTGGAGGTCTGCCACTGAATTACATCTTCATATGTTCACATCTTCATCACATGTTCTCATCTTCACATCTTCATCTCATCTTCATCACATCTTCTCATCTTCACACCTTTACATCCTCACATCTTCTCATCTTCACATCTTCACATCTTCTCATCTTCACATCTTCTCTCTCTCTCTCTCTCTCTCTCTCCCTCTCTCTCTCCCCCCCCTTGCCCTCTGTCACGGTCTCTCTCCTTCTTTCTCTTTTCTCTCTTAAAGTGCCGACGAGGCGCATGAAGTGGCAACCTTTTCGCACGAAATGAGGTCGGAGTGTCAAAAACTGATCTAAATTGCGATTTTGGCGCTTCGGCGGCAACCGTTTCGCACGAAACGAGGTTCGAGTGTAAAAAACTGATGGTTTTTTGCGACTTTGGTCTTGGTCCGGCGGGAACCGTTTCACACGAAACGAAGTTCGAGTGTCAAAAGCTGATAGTTTTTTGCGAGTTTGGTCGGTCCTGTTAAAGGGTCTGCATATCAAGTGCTTGTGTGTAAAAGCTTCTGTGTGTAAAAGTGTCTGTGTGTAAAAGTGTCTAAATGTAAAAGTGTCTGTGTGTAAAAGCTTCTGTGTGTAAAAGTGTCTGTGTGTAAAAGGTTCTGTGTGTAAAAGCTTCTGTGTGCAACAACGTCTGTGTAAAGCGTCTGTGTGTAAAACCCTCTTGTTGTACAAGCGTCTGTGTGTAAAAGCTTTTGTGTGTAAAAGCGTCTATGTGTAAAAGCTTCTGTGTGTAAACGCGTCTGTGTAAAAGTGTCTGTGTGTAAACGTGTTTGTGTGTAAAAGGTTCTGTGTGTAAAAGCTTCTGTATGTAAAAGTTTCTGTGTGTAAAAGTTTTTGTGTACATGTTTCTGTGTGTAAAAGCGTCTGTATGTAAAAGCTTCTGTGTGTGTGTGGGTTTGTGTGTGTCTCTCTGTGTGTGTGTCTGTGTGTATATATGTGTAAACATGTTTCTCTGCGTGCGTCTGTGTTTGAGAGCCTATCAGCATATTTGTATGCTTGTATTTTTCACATCTTCCATACAGCATACCTTGCCTGTCTCTTGCATCTAAAACCCTGACATTTTCACGTCTTATCTTGACATCTACACATAATGAACATATTCACGTGATCTCAAATAACATTCTCATGAACATATTCATGTAAGTCTTTGGCGTCTGCAAGTCATACAACTACATAACACATCTGAGTACCTATACACCTACTCGCTCTCGGGCCAACCGTCATCTAGTTTGGGACCATGGACCTGTCACATTTTGGCATTCCAAGTCAGGCTCTCTTGAAATCCTGTGGATCCTGGTCTGCTGTGGAGGATGCCCTTCAGCAGTTGGGTTTGGTCCGCTGTGGCCAATTGGAGCCTTTCCTACAGCAGAACCTCGGCCGGCACAATGCGCCCACGTCTCCCGTGGTATCCGTTGTGCTCAACATTCTCAATGCGGATCTGTGGCGGCAGCACCTTGGTAAAGTTGACATCATCCACACAGAACTGTGCAAATTTCTATAAACTGTCAGATCTTCAAGGGTTGAGGAGTTGAGGTTCTGCCCTGATTTTTTCTCATCTTTTTTCCCGTCCACACGGCTTTCAGGTGGGGTGAGGTGCCATCCCTGGTGCTTGGCCACTCCGTGGGTGAAATCGCCGCGGCCTACGCTGCGGGCATCTTCACGGTGGCTGAGGCCCTTGGCTGCGCTCATGGCCTGGGCCTTGCCATGCAGAAGCTGCCAGGCGCCATGCTGCATGTTGAGCTGCAGCGGAAGTCCCTGGAATGCTTGGAGGACGGGTTTTTTGGTGATGCTAGGCGATGATAGGTCGAGATTATATGAGATGATGGAGTTTTGGGGTGAGATGGGAAGTAACATTGGTTGAGAAATTTGAGGTGCATCAGTGACTCTTTCGGTTGGAAAGAGCTTGCATATGTACATTCATTCATTGAGAATTCATTGAGATAGTCACTGTAATTGTGCGCGGCGGATATCGCTGTGTATGAAAAAGAGACCTGCGGAAGGCAGGAGCTACAGGAATTCTTGTATTGCCATTATTGCCATTCAGAGTCGTGGTTGTTGTGGTCCTTCCGTTGTGGTTGTGGTCGCTGTTGTGGTCGTCGTTGCCCTTGTCGTCAGAGCCGGCATGAACAGCATCTGTCACCCATACAGGAGGGATTCCATGTGGCAGCCGTGAACTATGTCGTGTCGAAAGGAGCCACTGAGGAAGAGGATTTGCTCAGCGTCACCCTCTGCACTCGTGGCTCAACCGACGCATATTTGGCCAAGGACCCTGGCGCTACGCTTCTCAAGCCACAGCATGCCTGGCACCATCCAGCAACTTTCCTCAAGTCCAAAGGGGATGGGTCGGATGGGTATGTGTGAGTCTGTAGATGTCTGTAGCCAGGTTGCATTTTGCCAATCTTTGCCATCTCCAATGGGACCAAACCATGTTTTAGCCAAAGGCTTGGTGGCACACAGTTTTTTCAACTTGCAGCCGCGCGTGAAAAACATTTCATGGACAAATCATGTGCAAAGAAAGCCTTGGAATGCAGATAGAGGGGCACCATGTGGGAGGTGTGACTAGCAAAGCTGGCAAAGTATTGAAATATATTGAAATTATTGAGATGAAAGTGCCAAACTTGATGACCTCCTTGCAAACTTTTTGCATTTTTGAGGTCTGTTTGACCATGTTTTATCTACTCTTAACTTATGATGTGTTACATCACCAATTTCTGACCTGAGCTCCAGGCCTGTGAGCTGCCCATGTCTTGTCACCTTCCGCTGGGTGGCCGCGCTTCGGTTCCTTTCATCAGCGCAGTGACCGGCACACGCCTGGAGGAGCTGCCACCGGAGCACTGGCAGCGCTGGCTGCGGTGCCCGGTGGACCTGGCATCGGCGCTGCAGCGCGCCAGGGAGATGCTCGGAGAGCTGGTAGTGCTGGAGATGGGACCCCATCCAGTGCTGTACCAGGCCGTGAAGGCGAGAACGTCCATTGGAGATGGCAATGTTGGAGCATGTTGGACCTTTAGGATGCTGGATTTTTGGTGATGGTGGCCTTTTTGGGGGGCATATATGCTGTCATAATTTAAGAATAGCTCTGAACATGAAAGAAACCCCGGCACAAAAATGCATAGACGTCGAGGTGGGAGTCGTGACCAGCTCATGACTGAAAAAGAAATTGCGAGATTGAGCTTTGGGCCGATGAGCCAGAAAAATGATTGCAACCCTTTTTCAATTGCAGGAGAAGAGTCATTAACTTATGTCAAATTAGATCCAATCTATTTTTGTTTCTTTGTGAGGCCAGCTTCGATCTGGCTGGATATGCTTGCTCCATGCGCCGTGGAGAGAAGCAAGGGCCCCTCCTATCGAGGCAACGATCATTGCTGCCTGGCTTCCGAGCTCATCTTAGTTCCCAGCTGCATTGCCTGTTGGATTCTGAGGGCATTTGCTTCGAAACGAGCTTTGCAGATCAAGGTATGGCATCCCAGAAGTTGGTGCCTCTGGCTCACAAGCTGGCCAAACTCTTTCCATCTCTGGCGCCCCACGATTTGTACCGCTTCGACTCTGTGCAAAAGCTGATTGATTTCTGGGATGAAGAAAGCTCAGCGAGCGCTAGCCGTGGTGAAAAACCGCCGGCCAGCGCTTTGGACATTCTGGCCTGTGGAGTGCGCTTACCTGCGGGAGTGGAATCTCCAGGTACGTGTTTGGCGAGGGATGCCGGGGAAATATCAATAATCTGTTCAACTATGAATGAGTGCATCAAATCAGAAGTGTTGCCAAGCCCTGGCAGGTGACTTTCTCAAACCCCTTGGTTCTGATTCAAACCAGCACAGACATGACACAAAAACAGACACGCCTCACATGCCTGACAGGCAGCTTTTGGGCTTTGCTAGAGCAGGACGACCAGGACAGTGCGTTCAGCTGTAGGGATGGGCTGAGTGCTGCCTTCCTGCAGCCGCAGTTTGATCACAAAGCCTCGCTGGCTGCAGCGGAAGAATCCGGGGTGGAAGGTGCTGAGGCCAGGCAGATGTTAGTTTCATTTCGTTTTGGAGGTTCTAAGATGTTCTATGTTCTACCATGTTCTACCCAGTAGTGGGTTGATGTCCTGCGGAAGGGCCCCATGGCCCCCCATTTTTGAGGCCACCAGCTGTCGGGTACTGTAGCGGGGAATGCCACAACTCTGACGCTTCTGTGTCAGGCGGCAGCCATGGATCCCCAGCACGCCCTGGCCTTGAAGCTGGCCCGTGACATGTTCCAAGATGCAGGAGAAGAAACCCTAAAGGCTGTTCAAAGAGTGCGGGACCGCGTGGGTGTCTACATTGGGGCCTGGCAGGGGGTGGCCAGCTCAGGCAAACCCTCAGCCTACCATGCCATCGGTGCCTCCCTCAGCGCCTTGGCAGCTCGCGTGGCCAATGCCTATGACTTGCAGGGTCCTGCGGTCACTGTGAACACTGCCTGCTCTTCTGCATTGGTGGCGGTGAATGAAGCACTGAAGGATGCCAAGGCAGGACGCATTGACTTCGCCATCGTTGGAGGGGTGAATTTGTTTGGTGATGAACAGCTCTTCCATCACCTGCGACGCGCTTCGATGCTGAGCCCTTCTGGACGCTGTCACACCTTTTCGGCAGAGGCTGATGGCTACGTACGCGCAGAAGGTGGTGTGCTCTTCCTACTGGCACGGGAGGCTTTGGAGCTGCCCTCACATGGAAGAATCTTGGGCTCTGCCGTGACCCAGAACTCCAGGATGGGGTTGGCATGTTTCAAGAACGGCAACTCTTGTTGATTTGCCCGAGATGAAAGGTATTATTATATTCATGGAAAGTCAAATGATGATCAGTGAAAATCATGGGGATGGGATGACATGGGTAAGGAAATCTCACAAATATATCAAATATATATATATCTCTTAATTTGTTGAAATATGCACTGGATGCCTTTGAAACCTTTTGTCAGCACGTCCTGTCAGGAGGAAGCCATTGTCCTCGGTGGATCCTATAGCCCAGGAGCACGCTATCCATTTAGCTTGCTCTGACGCAGGCATCAAGCCTTCGGAGCTGACAGTCGTCGAGCTACATGGCACTGGAACGCCCTTGGGTGACCCAGTGGAGGTCTCAGCTTTGGCAAGGACTGCCTGAGGGATGCTATTTGTTTATTCTCTGTTTATTGTTTATTGTTTTTTGTTTATGCCAGAGAGGGAGAGAGGGAGAGAGAGAGAGAGAGAGAGACAGACAGACATGCAGGCATGCAGACATGCAAACATACAGACAGAGAGACAGACAGACAGACAGACATACAGACATACACACACACAGAGAGACACAGAGACATGCACGCATGCAGACAGACAGACAGACAGACAGACAGATACGGACAGACGGATAGACGGACAGACAGACACATACACACATATAATACATATAATACATATAATACATATAATACATACATACATACATACATACATACATACATACATTGTTTTACATTTACTTGACTTTGCTTTAATTTACCTTAATTTACTTTAATTTACTTTACATTTCATTACATACATACATACATACATACATGCATACATACATACTCGTACATACACACACATACACACATGCATGCATACATGCATACATGCATACATGCATACATGCATACATGCATACATGCATACATGCATACATGCATACATGCATACATGCATACATGCATACATACATACATACATACATGCATACATGCATACATGCATACATGCATACATGCAAATAAACAAACAAGAAGCAAATAGTCAAAAATATCACTATGACTTGTAGCTATGACTCAATATTAATCTAACATTTAATGTATACACTATAATTACTATATATATATATATTTAATTTATATGATATAAATGCACATTTGCATTGCGTGATTTTGAATGGTTAGCGAGGAAACCATGAAATCTGTTCCTTAGGACCCTTCGAGAACGCGCAGAAGCGTGCTGGATGACAGCGGCAAAGATGCACGTTGGACACTTGGAATCAGCTGCCGGAGCGGTGGGACTGCTGAAGGCAATGCTGATGTGCGAACAAGGGAAAGTACCGGAATTCCGCATCGACGGCAAGGGGTTGAACCCCCAAGTCATGGCTGCCATGGAGGGTTCTTGCCTCTGCAGGCCTGGAGAGCCTGGGGTTCTGATGGAGGATGCCATGCTGGGGGTCTCAAGCTTTGGCTTTGCTGGCAGCAATGCGCATGTGGTGATGACAGCTCCCAAAGGCTTTCCTGCAGCCAAGTACAAGAACCCCTTCACAGCCACCCTCTCGAAGCGCTCGCAGATTCCATTAACAGAGCTGTCAACCACGCTTTCACCGAGGGGTTCGGCATCAGAAACCCTCTGCCTCACATCGCTTCCAAAGCAAAAAGACGGAGAAGGAGATCAAGATGTGGAGGATGTGAGTGTAAGCCGCGTGAGCTTTGTGAGCAGTGCAGTGCTGTCCATTGTGGGGGGTGAATCAGATGTGGATGCCGATGCGGACCTCCATGAATTGGGCGTGGACTCTTTAGGATTGGCAGAGCTGCTGGGGCTTTTGGAGGACGGGGACAGAGTTTTAATGCACACCACACTGAACAGGTCTTGCAAACAGGCCCGAACAGGATCCTTGGGTAAAGAAGCAGATAGATACACAAATGAACAGAGAACTATGATGAACATTTGATGAACTATGTACTTGTTTCCCTATCTTCATATTCACATGCATGCGTGTTTGCATCAGTATATGTGTCCACTTTGTGATTGGCGGAGCCTGCGCCTGGAGGACAAATTTGGCCCTGGCTGCATCACCGTTGAGAGGATCGTGGATGAGCCAACCTGCCGGGCCATTGCTCGCAACTTGGAAGGCTTCGAAGCTGCTCCCTCCGTACAGGCAAAACATCCCCAGGCTCCGGTGGTGCCAGCTGTCATGCCACTGAAACCGGTAGTGGAGATTCCTTCAAGGCCAACGGCAGCTTTGTTGGCTGAGACACCACTGGGTGGACGGCCGAATGATCACTCGGATCCCCACTGTGACACCTGGATTCGCACAACGCACGTGGGCTCGCTGCCGCGCCCAGCCGATGGGATTTTGGATTTGAATCAGGTGATCGCTCAGCAGGGATGTTTGGACATCATCAACGATGGCGAGTGGGGCAGGGAGAATTACATTGCTGATGTGATCAACCGGATCTCTGGTTTGAGTGGCGGTGACGGTGCTGCTAAGGATGCTTGCTGTGCCAAGCATGCCATGCCAGTGGCAGCTGACATGCGTGACGTGCCGTTGTACGCGCAACGTTTCTCTGGGGGAAACGGGCTGATCACCTTGAACCCCAAGAGAGAAGCAGTGAGTGGCCTGGCGTGCGTGGCTCATCCCAAGTACAGCCCTGCAGACATCCCCAACTTGAAGTCATTCTTGACAGCAGTGAAGGCAGCAGGCAAGAACGTTTCTGATTCTCGTCCAAAGCATGAGCTAATGGACAGCTTTTATCAGCTTTTTAGATTAGGCCATAGGCTCTAATCTGATAGCTTGGTGGCTATTGCAAGCCAAGCTCAATACTTAAGACTATCACAATGAAAAGCTGCAGGCAGCCATACCCGTAAGGCAGGTTGGTTTTTGCACCTTCTTGAGATAGATATTCAGAAATAGATTCAGATAGACATGCATTGCGCCGCCTGCTATGAGGCGCACGTGTGTGAACGCATGCTTATTCGCGGGCACTAGACTTGAGAGACATATTGCATTTATCATCATCAATTTGTCCAGAGAGGGTCGTCAAAGGCAGTGATGATATGTGATGTTTTTGTACTTGACATACTTGCTTCATGGGTTCAAAACCACAACGTTCTTCTGAGGATTGCTTCTACTCTGTGCCCTCCCCTGGAACGATGGCGCTCTTCTGCCGTGATCTCGTCTTCCACGACCACAGGACCTACGTCATGGCGTTGGCTGATGCTCTCTCCCAAGAATATCAGCAGATTGCCAAGCAGGGTCTCCTCCTTCAGGTCCGTTGTGTCAGATGAAATTGGGGTGTTTACCGGTTACCGGTGGACCACACACACACATACACACACATGCTCAGCACAATCTTTCCCGATATTTGCCAGTTTTCAAGGTGTTTTGACTTCATACAGTTTCTGTCCAGGCATTGGATCTGTTTGATGCACCCAGGTGGACTGTCCCGACTTGGGCATGGGCCGCCACACCAAGTGGTCGGATCTCAGCGAGGCCAGATTCAATCGATTTCTCCAAGTTTTCCCCACCTGATGGCCTGGGGCCAGACGAAAACTCCGGGAATAGTATGGAACAATGGGGATATGTGGGGAACAAGATTGAAATGATGAAACAGTTTTCACATGTTTTCACAGTTGGCGCCCAGGCAGAGTTTCTGGACGTGGCACGATGCAACGTGGAGGCCTTGAACCGGGCGCTGCAGGAGGTTCCAGTGGAGCAGGTGCGTGTCCACGTCTGCTGGGGAAACTATGCAGGGCCTCATCACCAGGAGATTGATGGGCCTGGAGTCTCTGGAGATGTGATGAAGATGGTAGATGCAGGAAGATGCATGAAGATGTAGGGAGATGTAGGAAGATGTAGGGAGATGTAGGAAGATGCAGGAAGATGTAGGGAGATGTAGGAAGATGTAGGGAGATGTAGGGAGATGTAGGAAGATGTAGGGAGATGCAGAAAGATGCAGGAAGATGTAGGGAGATGTAGGAAGATGTAGGAAGATGTAGGAAGATGTAGGGAGATGTAGGAAGATGCAGGAAGATGTAGGGAGATGTAGGGAGATGTAGGAAGATGTAGGGAGATGCAGGAAGATGTAGGGATATGTAGGAAGATGTAGGGAGATGTAGGAAGATGTAGGAAGATGCAGGAAGATGTAGGGAGATGTAGGAAGATGTAGGGAGATGTAGGGAGATGTAGGAAGATGTAGGGAGATGTAGGGAGATGTAGGGAGATGTAGGGAGATGTAGGAAGATGTAGGGGGATGTAGGAAGATGTAGGGAAATGTAGGAAGATGTAGGGAGATGCAGGAAGATGCAGGAAGATGTAGGGAGATGTAGGAAGGTGCAGGGAGATGTAGGAAGATGCAGGAAGATGTAGGGAGATGTAGGAAGATGTAGGGAGATGTAGGAAGATGCAGGAAGATGCAGGAAGATGCAGGAAGATGTAGGGAGATGTAGGAAGATGTAGGGAGATGTAGGGAGATGTAGGAAGATGTAGGGAGATGTAGGAAGATGTAGGGAGATGTAGGGAGATGTAGGAAGATGTAGGGAGATGTAGGAAGATGCAGTAAGATGCAGGAAGATGTAGGAAGATGTAGGGAGATGTAGGAAGATGTAGGGAGATGTAGGAAGATGCAGGAAGATGTAGGGAGATGTAGGAAGATGTAAAGGGAGGTGTAGGAAGATGCAGGAAGATGTAGGGAGATGTAGGAAGATGTAGGGAGATGTAGGAAGATGTAGGAAGATGTAGGAAGATGTAGGAAGATGCAGGAAGATGTAGGGATATGTAGGAAGATGTAGGGAGATGTAGGAAGATGCAGGAAGATGTAAGGAGATTTAGGAAGATTTAGGGAGCTGTAGGAAGATGTAGGAAGATGTAGGGAGATGTAGGAAGATGCAGGAAGATGCAGGGAGATGTAGGAAGATGTAGGGAGATGTAGGAAGATGCAGGAAGATGCAGGAAGATGCAGGAAGATGTAGGAAGATGTAGGGAGATGTAGGGAGATGTAGGAAGATGTAGGGAGATGTAGGAAGATGTAGGGAGATGTAGGGAGATGTAGGAAGATGCAGGAAGATGCAGGAAGATGTAGGGAGATGTAGGAAGATGTAGGGAGAGGGAGATGTAGGAAGATGCAGGAAGATGTAGGGAGATGTAGGAAGATGTAGGGAGATGTAGGAAGATGTAGATGAAGATGTAGGGAGATGTAGGAAGATGCAGGAGGATGTAGGGAGATGTAGGAAGATGTAGGGAGATGTAGGAAGATGCAGGAAGATGTAAGGAGATTTAGGAAGATTTAGGGAGCTGTAGGAAGATGTAGGAAGATGTAGGGAGATGTAGGAAGATGCAGGAAGATGCAGGGAGATGTAGGAAGATGTAGGGAGATGTAGGAAGATGTAGGAAGATGTAGGGAGATGTAGGAAGATGTAGGGAGATGTAGGGAGATGTAGGAAGATGCAGGGAGATGTAGGAAGTACATGTGTTTTTCCTATCGGATTTTGACCTGTCTTCGGTTTGAACGGGGGGACATCATATTTGTCAAGTGGAATGGTGATCCAGTGATCCAAGAGTTGTGCCGACAGGATATCTCTGCGGAGCATGTGTGGCCGCTGCTTGGGGAGGTGAAGGCCAAGTACTTGTTGCTGGAGGGCGCCAATCCTCGTCACCGCAGAGATGTGCAATGCTTTGAGATGGCGGTGCAGAAGGGCTACTTCAAGAGCCACCAGGCCGCTGTCCCACCATCCAAAACTATCCAAAACTGGGAAACAGTCCAAGTATGTCAAATTTTTTGAAGGTTCTTTCAAGCAGGACAGATACAATATATTGATAGTATAGGAACCCACGAAAAATCCATTGGTTTGACCATCCATGACAATCCCTGTATCCCAGTAAATATCGAAGTCGTCGAAGTCCTGGTTTTGGTAATTGTTATATTCCCCCACCTCGCCATGCAAGGGAATTTATATCGAATTAGGATTCACTTTCACTCGCACTTTTGTCCCCAGGTTCATCCACTGGTGATATCTTGTGATTCCCTAGCCCATCTACCCTCCCTTTACCACCACCGTGGTTTTTTGGGGCACATTTTCCAGGTCATCGTTCCGGGGCTCATCGACACCACCACGGCGCGCGTGGAGGATCCGCGTCTCATCGCGGAGGACCTGCTGCGCTACGTGCGCGCGGCCGGCCATCCGGGCCGCGTCGTGGCGTCCACGGACTGCGGCTTCGCGTCCACGGCCAGGTCCACAGCCATTACGGCGGACTTGGCACCTGGGTGAAAGATATGGGGGGGTCCATACATGGAGATACCCCCATAGCTGGATGGTTTATTTCATGCTACACCCTTCTATAAATGGATGAGAACTGGGGGTAGCCCTATTTTGGGAAACCGAAAGGTATGAAAGATGAAGAGAAGTACAGCGATAGATAAGGTGACATATATGATGGGTCTGGAAATGGTGTACAACCCCAAAAATTCTACAGGAAAGTTATGAGAAACCATGGGGTTTGGAAGTATCCTGTTTCTGGACAAACCCATATGGATATATATATATATATATATATATATGTATGCATCGTGTTTGGCAGGCACTGGGTGTGCATTATCATTAGGGTGAGTATGTAAGCTGATGAATCCATTTTGGCTCAAGTCTGAGCCAAACTGGCTTCATCATTCTTTCTTTTCCCTCCCTTCCCTCCCTATGAGATAGGACTCCCGTGGAGTATCCTCTCTTGTAGGGGATCACATCATTGTGGATGTTGATCTCTACGTGCTGGTGCACGCTGTGGCACTGGGTGGGAGAGATTCACCCTGTGTAGTCTCCTGGGTTGACAGGAGCGCGGAACAGGGAGTATGGATCTAACCAGTGCTGCTGTGCAGGAGGATACCTGCACAGTTACCCAAAGCATTATCCTGCTGGAGGCAGGTTGAGACCGCACGAAGCGACTGGAAAGGAAAAAGGATATGCGGATGTGAACCTGGATTGATTGAACGTATTTAATATCTACGCTTTACATCTCACATCTAATGTGTATATATATATATTATATATATTATATATATATTATATATATATTATATATATATTATATATATTATATATATATGGTTTCATTACATTTATGCCTATTTTTCAGAGGAGGCCTATGTATTTTATTCAGGTTTTTTTTTGGATCAGGTTGAGAATTCTATTTGGATTCCTGCTTTTCTGCTGTCCCTGCTGTTCTCCTTCTTTGCTTTTCTACTTCTTTGCTTTTCTGTTTTTCGGCTTTTTTGCTTTGCTTCTCTGCTTTTCTGCTTCTCCGGTTTTTTTTCTTTTCCTACTTTTCTGTTTTTTCCTGCTTTTCTGCTGTTCTTGCTTCTCTCTTTTCTGCTTCTCTGCTTTGTCCGCTTTTTGCTTTTCCTGCTTCTGTGCTTCTGTGCCTTTCTACGTCTACTTGTTTTTTCTTTTCCTTATTCTCTCCTGTTTGTATCCTAAATGAAACCCTAGATGAAACCCAAAGACCCCCTAAAGAAATCCCAATAAGAAACCCTACATAAACCCTAAATGAAACCCTAAAGAACCCTAAATTGAACCCTGACCAACCCCTAAATGAAACTCAAAAGGAACCCTAAATGAAACACAAAAGAAACCCGACATGAAACCCTAAGATACCCTCGGTGACACCCTAAAAAACCCTAAATGAAACCCTAAAGAACCCTTAAAGATACCCCAAAGAAACCCTAAAGAAACTCTAAATGAAACCCTACAGAAATCTTCAATAAGGGCCGAAAGAAACCGCAAATGAAACCCTAGATGAAACCCCAAATGAAATCCTAAAGAAACCTTAAAAGAAACCCTAAATGAAACCCTAAAGAAACCCTAAATGAAACCCTAAAGAAACCCTGAAGAGAACCGAAATGAAACCCTGAAGAGACCCCAAATGAAACCGAAAAGAAACCCTAAATGAAACCATAAAGAAACCCTCAATGAAACCCGAAAGAAACCCTAAATGAACCCTTAAATGACGCCCTAAAGAAATCTAAAATGAAGCCCTAAAGAAACCCACATGAACGTTTGAAGTACCAACATGTAGCCAATAGTATGCAAAAAATGAGAGGTTGAAGCCAAAATGTAGCAAATCTCATGCAAAATGAGAGGTTGAAGTGCCTTAAATGTACCAAATACCGTGCAAAACGGAAGGTGAACATGCCAAAATGTCGCAAATGCCATGCAAAATGACAGATTCTAGTTCCAAACTGTTGCAAACGCCAGGCAAATGGCACCAGGAAAGAAATAATAAAAAGAACCAAACCTCACCCAAAAAACTAAAGCTATTTTTCACCCCTTTCAAATACGATAGAAGATACTTTTTCAAAAAGAGTTCTTTATTCAATGCTGGTGGTTGAAACACATGCCTATTTGGATATCATGTTGCTTTATGTGTTCATTCTGATGATTATGTTGACTGCCTTCCTTGGCTTCCTGCTGCAAATCATTTTCGTGGCCTAAGAAACATGCATCCGAAACTTTGAAAAGTTCAACAATGGACATCTAGAAATTATAGAAATGATCCGAAACTCTGAAAATCAGACCTGTTTGATTGATTTTCATTGAATCTATGGATATCTATGGATATCTATGGTCATTTTTGATCCTTTTTGGCTCGAGGCTTGGATGAAGCTGCGAAGCTTGGCCGAGGGCGCTCAGCTGGCCACGCGTCACTTTCTACAGCAGTCTGCGCCGGTGCCGTGTCGCAGCGTCTGCCTCGCCGGCACGCCCTTTCGGGCAGTGATCTTCAGCGAGGAATGGAATATGGGAACTATATGGAAACTATATGGGAACTGGGAGATTTCATTGATTGATACCCTCTGGTAAACTAACATAACAATGAAAAATCACCATGTTTAATCGGAAAACTCACTATAAATGGCCATTTTCAATAGCTATGTTAGTTTACCAGAGGATAGTTGCCATATTCCAATAATTGGAAGTATTGATTCATTGAAATATGGAATATGGGAACTTGGATAGATATTGTCTGATAGGTGTTTTTTCCCGTGATTTCTAGGTTTCAACCAAGGTGGTGCAGGATCTCGCAACCATCCACAGTATTTCTCCATTTTTCTCCATTTATCAGCAAAAATCTGGATTCATATTCAGCCTTCCCCACCATCTCAACTCCAATATATATATATACCCGCAACGCCTGGGCTCAGCCCAGGCGTTGCAGCGTAGAGGTTTCCCATTCCCAAACAAATGTAGTTGATGCAACTTCACAAAATTCCTGTGGGAAAAACAACGAAGGTACCAGGAAATGTTAAACTCCCACCCCCGTGAAACTTTACATTCCATTGGGAAGATCAACAAAGGTACTAGGGAATATTAAACCCCCCCACACCTGTTAAACTTTACATTCAATTGGGAAGATCAACAAAGGTCCTAGGGAATATTAAACTCCCACCCTCGTTAAACCTTACATTCAATTGAGAAGATCAAAGGTATTAGGGAATACTAAAGTCCCACCCGCGTTGAACTTTACATTCGATCTTCATTCAATAAGGGTTTAATTCTCCCACCCCCGTTAAACTTCTATCTTCATTTTGAAGATCTTCAACAAGGGTTTGATGATGATGATGATGATGATGCGATGCCTGTCGTGGTTGCGGTTCCGGGCAAAGCCCGGGCATTTGCCGTATATAATATATATTAATATATATATATATGTGTGTGTGTGTATATCTGTGTGTATTTTCCCCGAGAGCGTCTGAGCGAAGGGTTCTTCTAATAGTGGGGTCTGTCACGGTCTGTCAAACATTTTTACATCTTCACATCACATCTTCAATTCTCACATCTTCTCATCCTCACATCCTCACATCTTCACATCTTCTCATCTTCACATCTTCTCATCTTCACACCTTCACATCTTCTCATCTTCACATCTTCTCATCTTCACATCCTCATCCTCACATCCTCGCATCTTCACATCTTCGAATCTTCACATCTTCTCATCCTCACATCCTCACATCTTCACATCCTCACATCTTCTCATCTTCACATCTTCTCATCTTCTCATCCTCACATCTTCACATCCTCACATCCTCACATCTTCACATCTTCAAATCTTCACATCTTCTCATCCTCACATCCTCACATCTTCACATCCTCACATCTTCACATCTTCACATCTGCTCATCTTCACATCTTGTCATATTCACATCTTCTCTCATCTTCACATCTTCACATCCTCACATCTTCACATCTTCACATTCTCTCTCGCCCTCGTGCTCTCTCCTTCTTTTCTATTTTTCTCTTAAGGCGGGGGGCAGTGCCAACGAGACGGCACGAAGCGCAACCGTTTCGCACGAAACGAGGTTCGATCGCCAAAAACTGAGGTGAAATTGCGATTTTGAGTGTGCCGCGACAACCCTTTCGCACGAAATGAGGTTCGATCGTTTAATAACTGCGGTGAAATTGCGATTTTATAACCTCGGCAGCAACTGTTTCACACGAAATGAGGTTCGATCGCCAAAAACTGAGGTGAAATTGCGATTTTATGACCTCGCGGCAACTGCTTCGCACGAAATGAGGTTCGATCGCTGGTAAAATTGCGATTTTGAAGTGTCCGCGACAACCCTTTCGCACGAAATGAGGTTCGATCGCCAAAAACTGTGGTAAAATTGCGATTTTGAAGTGTCCTTCGCACGAAATGAGGTTCGATCGTTGAAAACTGAGGTAAAATGGCA